ATAAAAATTTTTTCAAAAGAATATTGATGTGGGACCAGTAGATGGTGTAATGGTTATGTCTCTGGTCTCCCACATAGTTGACTACAGTTCAAGTCCTAGACTCAGTAGCTTAAAACTCACACTGGGCACATGTGTATGTGTGCCCAAACTCCCAGGAACAGAATGAAGTAGAAGGGATTGCAATGTGACCATACCCACTGGGGGGTGATTTCTCGCTTTCTGTCTCTCTCTCTGGTGAGCGCACGTGACCTATAGCAAAAATCTCTCTCTAAAGTCAAAACAAATGATGGTGATGACCAGCTTTATTGTATACACACACACACACACACACACACACACACACACACACACACACGTATATAAAATCTCTCTCTAAAGTCAAAATGAATGATGGTGATGACCAGGTACTAGCTGAGGACAGAGCACTTCCTGTGGTGGCCGATAGGGACCATGAGGAAATCTCCCAGGGAATCTGCCTGGCTGTTCCAGAGGAGCAGTAATCAGCACTGGCAACGTGTACCAGGAAGTCATGTGGCCAGTTTCAAGAACTCACTTCTGGGCTAACAGGTGGTGTGGTGGTTAAGGCACTGGATCCCACATGGCTGCCTTCACGGTCTGAGTCCCAGACCTGGTGGCTTGAAAATCATGCCAGGTGCATGTGTGTGTGCTTAAAATTCCAAGAGGAGAATGGAGGAGAAGGAACTGTGGTGCAGTCACTCTTCTGAGGGCGATTTCTCATCTTCCCTCTCTCTGTCTCTCCGGCCAGTGCATATGCCCTCTGGCAAAAGCAGAACTCTCTTCCCCATCTCCGTTCTCTCCCTGGTCACCTTGAAAAAGAAAAAAAAAAACACACACACACACACAGAAAAGCTTTATTGTGTATACACACACACACACATTTATAAAACTGTTTAATTTTTATTTATTATTACTATTTTTAATTTGACCAGAGAGAGATAGAGAAAGTGAGCCAGGTCCAGGACTCGAACCATGATTAGCTATGTGGGAGTCCAGTGCCCTAACCACTGTGCCACCTGCCAGCCCCAGCTTTATTTATTTATTTTTATTATAATTTTTTAGAGAGTCTTTTGCTATAGGGCATGTGTGCCACTGGAGAGAGAGACAGAGAGACAAAGAGACAGAAAGCAAGAAATCACCCCCTAGGGGAATGGCCATGCTGCATCCCTTCTTCTCCATTCTCCTCTCAGGATTTTAGGCATGCATGCACACATGCCCAGCATGAGTTTTAAGCCACTGGATCAGGGACTCGAACTGCAGTCTACCACGTGGGAGTCCAGTGATGTAACCATTATACCATCTGCTGGTCCCCCAGACTTACTATTTTTTAACTACACAAACAGAAATGTCCATTGTGGAAAATCAGCAAGATAATAATATTAATATACTCATAAAAATCACCCATGTTTCTAATAGCTCATGAGAATCACTGTTAACATTTTGTACCTACTTACAGGACTTCTAATTCATCAGTGCATGTGTAAATCACCCATCTCTTTGTTTTTTCCAAAGTATGGTCTCAGGGCCCAGTAAATTAAGTAATTTAAAAAATGGGTCACTCTTGCACCTACTTTTGGAGATTCACAATGTACAGTAGCATATTAAAAGATTTGAGAAATTTAGTAGCCAAGACATTCATTTCATTGAAGAGCTTGCGTATTTACAATATACTTGAGCATGGAATCCTTGGGATTTTTGTTTTGTTTTGTTTTGTTTTTTATAATCCAAGAACTAATGGAGTGATTCATGGATCTGAAAAAGGTAAACAATACTGAATCTTAAGTTCTAGTTCATATTTAGTCTGTAATAGTCACTGAATTGCTTAAATTGTTTTTATGGTATAAGTAAAGTCTGTATAGTCACACTAGATTGCTCAAATTGCTTTTATGGTATAAATATCTCTCCATGTCATTTACATTCTCCTAAAACATAATTTTTAATGGTGACATAGAATTCTAGTGTATGGATGTCCCATGGCTTGTGAATGCAGTATCTGATTGCTAGGAGTTTGGATTTTTCCCAGTATGGGCTCTTGCAATGGATATCATTGTAGCTAGCCAAGGCATTCATTGTCTACCCTGTAAAATATTTCATCATATGAGCCTTGATTTTCATGGGGAGTAGTGACTGTGTAGATTACCCATGAGTGGTTTGGGGTTTTCTTTGTCTTGTTTCATTTTTTACCTCTAATTTAAGGGCCCATTAGTTAGAAATATTTTGGAAAGAGAGAGAAATAAATACTTAGTTTAAGAGTAGAGGATAGGACCAACAGATGGTGTGGTGGTTGGGGTGCTGGACTCCCACATGGCTGACTATGGTTCTAGTCCTTGACCTGGCAGCTTGCTTTCTCACTTCCCCTCTTTCTCTATTTCTTTCTGTCTCTCTCTGATGACTATAGCAAGTTAAAAAAAATAATAAATAAAATAAATCATTCTTTTTTTAAGAGAGATTTTTGCTATAGGGCATGTGCAGTCACCAGAAAGACAGAGATAGACAGAAAGCGATAAATCACCTCCTAGGTGGGATTGGCCATGCTGTAATCCCTCTCCATTCTCCTCTCAGGATTTTGGTCATGCACATGCACCTGGTGTGAGTTATATTTTCTCATCAATTTTCAAGGTGAGAGGACCAAGGAGGTCCTCACACAGTAGGGCCATTTGTTGGATCTTGAAAGATGACTGGATATGTACGAGGAGATAGAGAGTGGGAACAGGGACCCGGGAATCTGACCAGCCTTCCCTCTAGCACAAGGGAACTTACTTATCATGGGAAGAAATAACAGGAACCAATGAATATAATTGAAACACAGCTTGGCCAGTGATACAATCTCGAAATTAGAGACATTTCTCTTCTTTCTATTTGGGAGAACAAATAGCTCTAACAGAGACCAGCAAATAGCAACAATAAAAGCTGAAGTGCTTGTACTAGACTGAAGAGAGATGTCAGCGGAAAGAGAAGAGGCTGGAAGTGGCATGAGCAAGAAATGCAGGTTTTAGTGTAAGAGGCACTGGCGGGCTTTTTATATTAAGCAAGTGAGAGACTACAGGGGAAAAGCACAGGGACTTTATTTCTATATGACAGGATCAATAGAATCTAATCAAGTTGTGAATGCAATCAGGATCAGATGAGAAATACCAAGTAGGTCCTCGTAGGCAGTAACTAGAATATAATTGTGTCCGGGAGCGATGATGAGAGTGATGTTGCACATTTTTTTCCATGCCCTGCTGGGAGGGAGATGGAGAAATTGAAGAAGGGCGATGTGGTTACAGGCTCACATCCCCAGAGTTCTGTCCTGTTCTGTGTTGATTTTCTTCTCTGTAGAACTCCCCCAAGACTAGGCTTTTCAGCTAGGAGAGGAAATGAAAGAGAGGTGTCCTTTTGAAGAAAAGTAGTGAGGAGTGTCACAGGTCACTTCTGGGATGGGTGGAATCAGATATGGTCGTTTGGCTAGAAGATGATGAGAATGAGGGACTTTGAAGGAGGTTGTGGGGCTGACAGGTGGCATGGTGGTTAAGGGCATTGGACTCCCACATAGCCGACCATGGTTGGAGTCCTGGACCTGGCAGCTTGCTTTCTCGCCCCCTTTCCCCACTCTGTCCCTCTCTGGTCAAATTAAAGTAAATAAATAAATAAAATAAAGTTAAAAAGTAAAATAATATTTTTTTTTGAAAAAGGAGGTCGTGGGTTAAACAAATTCATACTGTCCACATATGCCCTGCCCAGTCACCTTATATACAAATTGTCCATGCAAAGACAGACTGCTATCTTGTAACTACGGCTTTGAGTACCTGCAAACAGACAGGTCAGGGCAACCTATTTAAGACAAGTGGGCTGATCATCACATGTAATCTAGCCCCTACCAGCACTCCCCTTAAGCATCCCCATACAGGGGTTCTGGAGTCACCACTAGAAAGTACTCACTCCTTGAACTCATTGATTGTATGAGGAACATGAGAAAAAGTGCAAAACCACTTTCAAGCACTGCCTCTAACAGCTACATTGATTTTAAGAGTCTGGCTTATCATGTGCCAGATTCTTGGGTTAGAGGATGGGTTGGAAGTGGATCCTTGCCCTTGAGAGACCTATTCAGAGTCCAAGTAGATGACACTGATACATTGTCAATAACCTGGCTGGCCTGTGGCCTGGTGGTTAGGGGAGCCAGATTCCACATGGCCAACTGTGCTGTTTGAATCCAAGCTCCAGTGACTTGGAGAACACACCAGGTGCATGCGCACGCACGTCCCAAATCCCAAAGAGGTGGAGACGTGGAGGAGAAGGCATTGCAAGATGACCATGCCCCATTGAGGGGGTGCTTGTCCCTCTTTCTCTCTCTCTGTCTCTCTCTGGTGAGTGTACAGGCCCTGTAGCAAATTATAAAAAAATAATAATGCAACCCAATCAAATCAGCCTGTGATGGGAAGCTGGGACTTAAGGAGTCAAAAAAGGCTGTGACTAACTGTGGTTGGGAGGTGTCAGTCTCACCTTGGTCTTGGTGAATGGGGTATTGCTGCTTTAGGCAGGTAGTAACTGGTCAAGGAATATTTGTAGATGTTTGGGTTGAATGAATGAACAAATGTCTCCAGTGAAGAAACTGGGGACTCAGCGAAGAAACGACTTGCTTGAGGTCACACGGCTCACAGGTGGCGAGGCTGAGATTTAGACTGAGAACCTCATTCTCATTCCGTAACACAGCATTCGCTGGACAGCGAGTGAAAAGAGCTAGACATCCTAGAGAGCTGCGAGGAGAATATTCTAGGAACTGAGCAGCCCCGGCATTTTCAGAAGAAAGTATTAGCCCTCGATTGTAGATATCGGCTTCCTTCTCATATGGTCAAGTTCACATCAGTACACTGCTAATTTTCAATAATATTTGCCTTGACAAACAAAAACACAAAGCCATGGTACTCTATCTTCACTCTGGTAGATAGCTTAACAGGCAGCTCTAGTGCTACACTTTAAATGAGTGCTTTACAAATTTTCATTCCAGCCCACCTTGTTTGGCTATTTGATTTAGAAACGACGAATGAAGTCCATTTGCCATATGGGTAAGTGAACTTTTTTTAAGTAGGTGTTTTGCATCCCTGCAGCTCCAGGAGCTGTTGTCATAGTAACATTTTCCCCTCAAGTTGCAGAAGGAACAGTCCATGGAACCAATGGCAATGTAGGTCAGGAGCGAAAGGGGGCTTAGCCTCACCTCAGAGCCTAGTTCCACAGAGCCGGCTGTTCTTAATGCCTCGGGCTCCGGAGGGGATCGCATTCCTGGGTTGGAGTGTTCTGCTCTAGGATGAGTTGAAGAGGAGATGCAGAGGAGGGGGAGGAGGAAGCAGAAGGTAGGGGAACAGGGATGGGAGACTGGCGGGAGCCCAGGATGTCTATCCCAGAGGGACTGACTGTGAGGAGGTGACTGTGGAATGCTGGAGGCTCGACTGTGTCTCTGCTGTGTGGTAGGAGTTGGCACCCGCTGTGGTCCAGACTCATCTGGACTTGGTTCATGATGGCCCACGTCAGTTATCAACATCAACGTTTGGGGCTGCAAGAGACCTCAACTTTATATGCAGCCTTTAGCACAGAACTTCCTATGTGTTAAAGCAAGTAGCACACCTTCTCTACACCAGGACTCCAGTGGTCCTGGGCAGGCTTCCAGGGATGCGACCCATGGCCCTGGGCTTAGAAAGACCTTGTGCTTAGTGGTCTGCTGTTGCCATGTTGAAATGATCGTTTTTGAACCAGGAGTCCTCCATTTTCACTTGCACTGGGTCCTGCACTGAGGGTACAGTGTTTAGCAGAGCCAGTTTTAGCAGAACCGTCCCTGCTATTTTGAGGCTTATGGTACAGTGGAAGTGATAGACAGGAGCCCAGTCTCGACACAGATCAATGTTGAATTACATCTGGGATCTGTGCCATGAGGAGAGGTAGAGCTGTGTCATGCCAGGAGAGAGAAGACGGACTATCATTTCACAGCCCAGTGGCTTGACCCGACTCTCGGAACAGTGGCTGAAATTATAGGAGAAGGAATTTAGGTTTGTGTTACTAACAGTAAGTACCATCGGAGACCAGTGCAGGCTTTTGAGAGGGCCACATGTCTTCCCCCTCAGGGTTGTAAAGATTAGGATGATATCCACCTTCAGGGCAGGCACTTTGGATGCAAACCTCGCTCCCCCCCCCAAGTTTCTAATTTTAGCTTTAAACTTTGACATAATTTCAGTTATATAGACATGTTGCAAGAATTGTACAAAATATTCCTATATGCCCTTCACCCAGATTCCTGCTATTTTACAATGTTATCTGTCAGTCAGTCGATCTGTATCTGACTATCCATTCATTCATCTACCCACCCATCCATCCACGGTTTTTTCTTTAAGAATTATTTATTGATCTACTGTTTGATCTTAAGCTGCAGATATCATATGTGATGCTCCTTTGTTACTGCTACAGATTGAATGTCTCCCCTCCCTCCCCCACCAGAAAAATAATCCATATGTGAAAACCCCCAGGGCTATGGTATCAGGACACAGGACCTTTGGGAGGTAATTAGGTCATGAGAGTAGAGCCCTCATAAATGGAATTAGTGTCCTTAATCCAAAGACATGACAGGGGCCAGCAGGTGGTGTGCAGGTTAAGGCGCTGGATCCTACATGGCCAACAGCAGTTGTCATCCTGGACCCAGCAGCTTGAGAACCACGCTGGGCTGGGCATGTGTAGGCCAGCCACCCAGGGGGTGATTTTGCACTTTCCCTTTCTCTGGCAAGTGCTCATTCCCTGTGGCAAAAAACATGAAAAATAAATAAAATAAAATAAAAAAGACATAAGAGAGCTTGCATTTTTTTTTTTTTTTCTGTTCTCCACTATCTGAGGACACAAGTAGACAACCATCTGCGACCCAGAAAGGGGACCTTCCCAGAATCCTGTCACACTGACATTTTGATCTTGGACTTCCTGCCTTCTAGACTCTGAGAAATAAATTTCTCATTTAAGCCATTGAGTCTATGGTACTTGTTATAGCAGCTTAGACTAAGAAAACTGCTAAATACTTGACTCTATTTTGTCATTGGAAAAGTCTTGGCACATTTTTGCATAGGAAAATATGACTTAAAATTTCTTTGATAATTATTTAATTTTATTATTATTTTAAAAATATTTGATGAGAGAGAGAAAGTGAGAAAGCAAGTCATCAAGTCCAAGACTCAAACTGGCCTGTCATGTGGGAGTCCAGCACCTTAACCACCACGCCACCTACTGGCCTTTTTCATTAATTTTCTGATGACCCAATATTCCCCCAAAACGAGATCATTCTCTTACACAGTATAGTTTTCAAAATCAAGAAATCAACATTTATGTGTTATTATTGTCTAATCTACAAATTGTGTTCAGCTAGCCCTCGTTGTTCCACTAATGTTCTTTATAGCAAACAAAATCCTGTATCCTGTGTTGCAGTCACATCTCTGGTCTAGTTAGTATCCTTTAATTTGAAACTGTTCTTAGACTTTCTTTGTTTTCCATGACAATAATTTTTGAGGAGTGCAGGCCAGTTATTTTTTAAAAATCAGGTGTATTGAGGTATACTCTACCTATGTAGAATTTGTTCTTTTTAGATTACGGTTCTCAGGCTGGTTATCTTACACAATGGCCCTCACTTGGGATCTGTCTGATGTTTCCACATGATTACATTTAGATTCTGATTTTTTTAGTGGAAATACCACAGAAGGGATGCTGTCTTTTTTTGTCAGTGCATCACAGCTGGAATCTCATGTAACTGAATTGCCCTATTACTATTGATGCTAACTTTAGTCTTTTAGGCTTTTCCACTAGAAGGTGTCTCTTTTGTTCCTCTGAAATATATATGTATCTTGTGGGGAGATAAAGACTGTATAAATACTCTGTTAATTCCTCAAACTCTTACCTCCCACTTTGTTCATCTATTGATGGATTTTGCCTGCAAGTTATCAATGTGGGGGGCAAATGGTTATTTTCTTTCTTTCTTTCTTTTTATTTTGATAGATTTTTGGTATAGGGCATGTGTGCTCACCAGAGAAACAGAGAGACAGAAAGTGAGAAATCACCCTCCAGGGTGTATAGCCATGCCACAGTCCCTTCTCCTTTATTCTCCTCTTGGGATTTTGGGCACTCACACACACGTGTCCAGCGTGAGTTTCGAGCCACAGATTCTGGGACTTGAACCATGGTCTGTCACATGGAAGTTCAGCACCTTAACCACTATGGCACCTGTAAGCCCCTGGTTATTTTCTAATTCCATCATTCCTGTTACTTTGGTGAGTTGTCTTGCTACTTTAAGGAAGACAGCTTCTCCCCCAATTAATTTGTTAATTAATGGTGTGTAGGCATATTCACTATTTAATGGGTTGTTCTCAATTACTATCATTATTTATTTGGTTGTTCAAATTGTCTTGGAGCCAGTTCCTTTATGCTGGGCCATATTTTGACAGGCCCCCATCGTTCTCAGAGCACTCGCTTCCTTTTTGGCACTACGAGATGTTCCAAGTTCATCTTGTACTTTCTGTGCTCCAGCCCTGGAGTCAACCATTTCTCCAAAGAAGGGGACAATTTTCTGAAGGGACACATATTGCCTGAAGTCATCGCAATCTTGAGATTCTTTCCAAAATCATGAGGTAGAACCAGAATGATCACAAATAAAATAATATTCAGGATACTTGTCTGGCTCTTTTTTCCCTTTAGTTAAATTTAAAGGAACTTACCCCCCCCAAAAAAAAGTATATAATAAATTTTATGGAACAAGAATTTTCAAAGAGAAAAAGGGTGAATAATAAGAAGAAAACAGATATGTCAGCCACAAAGTTGCTGGGCTTGCCCAGAAAAATTTGGCATTCAATATTCTGGCAGCCAAGTTAAAAAAGAAACTGCACAGGTGATGCCCAACACTGGCAGATCACCTTCAGGGACTCTGACCTGCTGGCAGAGGCAGGCACAGCAGCAAGGGCTCGGGCTTACATCGCACCGTGGGCAGACAAGATGGTTGGGATGGCATTCCAACCAGGCAGAAGGACAGTGAGTTGCAGAGATGCAGCAGCAGGGCCAGGATTTTTTTCTTGTAAGCACTTTGGGAAATGTTCTAGCTTTTAGGCCAGCACTCGGCTGAGATCCCCCTAGTTAGAAGGAAATTGCTCTGTAAGTGCCCTACAGTCATTCCTTCACCTCTTTACTCCTTCACTCTATTGCTCAGTGATGTTTTCCTAAATCCTTACCAATAAAAGCGCCCCCATCAGGCCAGGGGAGGCAAAGACCATTAGAATTCAGACCCTGAGCAAAAGGTCAATAACCAGGGAAGCATTACATGCAGGATGCTATGCCAGATTGAACGCTAGTGTGCTTCAAGAGGAGCTGAAGGGCTCAAGAGACGGCTGTGTGGTAGCTGTTCTACTCAGATACATTTCATGAAGGAGCTGCTGTTTTTATAAAAACCTGGAGCTTCAGATCTGCAAAAGGCCTTGAAAGAAATCCTGGCCAGTGGCCCCAGTAGATGCTCAACTTCTGCCACCACTAGACCCCATGCTGAGTTGTCAATTGATGGTGAAGGAGTCACAGAAATATGCAATGAATAAGGTGGTTGCTGCGTGAATGGGCATTCCGTAGTTCCCTCGCTTACTCACTCATGGATTCAGTGAATATCTGTCGAGGCCCTGTTATGTTCTTGGCATGGAAGTAAGTGTTGGTTGCACAGGGGTGAGCAGAAATGCACTCAGTTTCTGCCCTCATGGCATTTGAGACCTAATAGGAAAGACAGACATTAATCAGACTAATTTTTTTAAAAACATGTATTGTTAAAGGCTATTCTAAGTGCTATCATGAAAGCTAGCCAGCTCTTCCAGAGCAGGAGGTGAAGGAGGGCTGCCTTGAGCAAGTGATGATTAAGCTGAACATGGAAGGAAGAGTTGGGTCACTACATGGGGCTGGACAGGAGAAGTCCAGGTGGAGGGAACAGTGTATGCAAGACCTTGGTGAAGTCAGGGCCCATCTGAAGAGAGACAGGACCATGTGGCTGGAGGGAGCAAGAGGAATGTGGTGACACTCAGTGAGGCTAGAGAGATGGCAGAGGCCAGCGGGTGCAAATCCATGGTAAAGATTCTTCCAGAAGGGAAGGGAGAGAGGTGTTGGGAGAGGAGAGCTGAGCTAACGGGATCACAAAGCAGGGGTAGAGGTATGCACCTGGAGCAATAATTCAGAGGTGAAGGAGTGGGAGATGAGTGAGGCAGATTCTGAGACGACAGGACACCGGTGGCACAATAGCCACCCTGCCCCCACCTCGTTGAGTGCTCTGTTTGACCAAGACCTCAGTGACTGAAGACAGGGTGAGGGGAAGGCAGGGTCAGGATCTATTCCTACAGAGATGAAAATAACCTAGGACTTAATTCCATTTCTTGCTGTCTACCCCATAGCAACTCCCTTGTGCATGAAGAGATATGTCCACGTATGTTCACTGTAGCAATGACTGTAGTAAAAACCTTGGAGCCACATATGACCTATCACCGTGGGCATGAATATATAACCGAAGCACACCGTTCCCAAGGTACGTGGGCAGGAATGGAAGAAATGCTAGATCTCTGTAGGGCCAGTAAGTGGTATGGAGGTTAAGGCATTGGACTCCCACTTGGCAGTTTGAGGCCTGGACCTGGCGGCTTGAAAATCATGCCAGGCGCATGCACATGCACACCCCAAATTCCAAGTGGAGAATGGAGAAAGGATTGCAGCATGGGTATCCCCCCTGAAGGGTGATGTTTTCACTTTACTCTCACTGTCTTTCTCTGTTCTCTCTCCTGCAAGCGCATGGGCCCTGTGACAAAAAGAGGAGGAAAAAAAAAGAATAGACTTCTACTGACATGGAAAGTCTCCAAGACATTGGTCTGGGGAGATGGGGGAAAAAAAGTCCTCAGAAGAATACTAACCCTGCCCCCCGCCACCCGCCTGTGAGTGCTCATATAATCCTTAAATGCCTGAAAGATGTATGGACGTCTTCACAGCAAACTGAAAGAAGTGGTTACCAGAACAGGAGGAAGAATCCTAGGGCATCCAGGGGGATTTCAGCTTTATCTGTAACGTCTTGATCTGATTATGGAAACTTTCAAACATATACAAAAATAGGACACTGTAATAAACCCCCAAGTGCTGCCACCCACACACTCCCTCTTCCTGGATTATTTTTAAAACATCCCAGACATTGTACTCCATTCATAAATATTTTAGTAAGTCTCTGTATCAGCTAAGGATCCTTTAAGAACTACATAACCACAATATCATGTTCACACCTAAAAATATTATTAATAATTCTTTAGGATTATCAAATATCTCATCTATGTTCATCTTTCTGTCTTTTTTTATTTTTTGGGCCATAAGGCATGTGTGTTCTCCAGAGAGAGACACAAAGGGAGGGAAAGTGAGAAATCACCCCTCAGCAGGATAGATATGCTGCAATCCCTTCTCTTCCAATTTGCCTCTTGGGATTTTGGGCATGCACACATATATGCACTCAGCATGATTTTCAAGTTGCTGGGTCCAGAACTTGAACTGCAGAGTCATCCATGTGGGATCCAGCACCTTAACCATCATGTCTGCCACCTGCTAGCTCTTTAATGTGTTTTTAAAAAATAATTATTCATTTATTTTACTTATTTATTCATTTATTTTAATTTTACCAGACACACACACACACACACACACTCACCAAAGAGAGAGAGAGAGAGAGAGAGAGAGAGAGAGAGAGAGAGGATGGAATGAGTAAGCAAGCCGCCAGGTCTGGGACTTGAACCACAGTTGGCCATGTGGGAATCCAGTGCCTCACCCACCACACCACCTGCTGGCCCCTTCTTTTTTTGGGGGGTGGAGAGATTTTTCCTATAGGGTGTGTGTACTTGCTAGAAAGATGGAGAGAGACAGAGAGACAGAAAGTGAGAAATCACTCCCAGGGGGATGGCCACACCACAATCCTTTCTCCTCTATTTTTCTCTCAGGATTTTGGGCACACACACGCACACACCTGGTATGAGTTTTAAGTTTCCAGGTCTAGGACTTGAACCATGTTGACTATGTAGGAGTCCAGTGATGTAACCATTATGCAATCTGCTGGTCCCAAAGACAGTTTTTTATATGAGAAGAAGAGAGAGAGTGAGAAAGAGAAAGACAAACCCTACACATAGTCCCCGCTGCAAATTCTCTCTTCCCCTTCCCAGCCAGTCAGGATCATGGGCTCACACTTGGCATGGATGGGTCAGTTAGGGAACCGAACCTGTGATCTCCTGAGGATCCAGCTTTACTTGAGCAGGGCACCAACACTGAACCAGCCCATGTTTCCTGATCTTATAATTACAGTTTGTTTGTTCAAATCAGTTTGTTTGCAATTGGTTGATCTGCCTCTTATGCCTTTTTGTGCATTGTTGCCAGTGTGTCTTTGGGATAGATGGCCAGAAGTGACCTTGTGAGGTCAAAGGGTAAGGGCATACGTAATTTCAATAAATGTTTCCCAACTCCCCTCCATGAAGTTGTAGCACTAGTTAAGTGCCCATGTCTCCCCACAGCCTCACTGATAGCTGCATGGTCAAACTTAAGGTGGGGCATCTCCTAGTTTTCATTTCTTTAAATTTCAAAAAAAAATGGAATCAGGGAAATTTCTGAATCTACAGAAGAAAGGACCAATTTTTTTCCAAATAATATTACCAACTACCATTCAGTGTACACTGAATTTTACTTAGTCCTCAAATAATCCTTCAAGAGAGGTAGTGTTGTATCATCTTTCAAGGGAGGAAACTGAGGCACAGAAGGGATGACTAGCCTTGTCTAATGTCTTACAGCAAAGAAGTGAGGGCCCAATTTGACCTCAGAAGTCTCTTCAGAAACTGAGTTTGGTTGCTTGGCCGACCTGAACCTCTGACCTACGAGACAGCACAGCCCGGGGTGTGTGCATCTCCTCGATGCTTCTCTCCTTTCCTGCTTGGAGCTGGCCCCTAGGACTGCTGGCAGTGGCTGCGTTCTGCTCAGTGGTCTTAAGGGCAAAGAGAGGGATATCTCAGGCTGCTTTTGATTGTAGCAGTTGGTTCTATGTCAGCCTGGGTGAGCCAGTGGTCAGGAGGGCTCAGGCCAAAGAGAATGCAACCTGGGAAAATGAACTTTTGAGAAACTACACCGGCAAACAGTTCCGGTGCCTAATTAGGAACCCCTGTCTTTTTATTAGAAAAATATGTTTTCCAGTTTTTGAAGGAGAGATGAAAAATAAGACCAGAATGGACACTGGGAAAGTAGAATCAAGTCAGATCCAGACTTCCAAGTGAGTGTCCTTCTGTCATCCACCTTTTGATTACTGAAATATTGCTTTACATAATTAAAAAAATAATAAAGAGTATATGTGCACATGCAAGAGAGAGAAGGAGGAGAGTACCCTCAACAGGGTCTGCTCACATCTCGATCTTCTTTCCCCAGGCCTCCAGCTCTTTAGGATCTAGGACAGCCATGTACACACATGTGTATTTTAAGCTGACCTGGGGATCTGAACCCATGGTTAACATATGGCTTCCATCCTTGCTGAGTACCTGCGTTACTTCTGCTCCATTGCCCTGGGCCTGTTTTGTAGGCTTCAATATCCACATACATATCTGGTTTTAGCCTTACAACTTTCCTCCAACGTGTATGACAGTTCTTTCCAGCCATTCCTCAGGGAAGGTGATTGAGTCACCCACCAGTTCAGGGAATCTCTGAAGCCTCATGTCTCTTGCAGAAAGGCCCAGACCAAGACAGCAGCTGGTCCAGTCCTTTCAGGGAATGTTAACCAGGATCCTCCCCAAAACAGATTTGGCTAAGTTTGAGTATTAGAGAAGAAAAGCCCTTTCTTTTTTTCCTTAGCACCTGGAGGGTGGGAACTCCATATTTTCATTTCCTGTTCTCCTCAGTCCTTGATGCTGGGCTGGGTACTGGGGATAAGATGAGGACCGAGGCCCAGGGCTGGCCCTCAAGGTGCTGAGGAAGGGGGAGTTAGGGTGGCTCAAGTGAAGAAAGTCACAAAGCAAGCTCTTTCTCGTTCACATGTGGGCACGCATCACATGCTCATGCCACACAATGCAGAAATGCTGGACAGGGCCAGCCAGTGGCGTGGTTTTCAGCAGCTTGAAAAACACAATAGGCTTGTGTGTGTGTGCGCACGCATGCATGCACCAAAAATCCAAGAAGGAAGGAAGGTTGAATTTTACTTAGTCCTCAAATAATCCTTCAAGAGAGGTAGTGTTGTATCATCTTTCAAGGGAGGAAACTGAGGCACAGAAGGGATGACTAGCCTTGTCTAATGTCTTACAGCAAAGAAGTGAGGGCCCAATTTGACCTCAGAAGTCTCTTCAGAAACTGAGTTTGGTTGCTTGGCCGACCTGAACCTCTGACCTACGAGACAGCACAGCCCGGGGTGTGTGCATCTCCTCGATGCTTCTCTCCTTTCCTGCTTGGAGCTGGCCCCTAGGACTGCTGGCAGTGGCTGCGTTCTGCTCAGTGGTCTTAAGGGCAAAGAGAGGGATATCTCAGGCTGCTTTTGATTGTAGCAGTTGGTTCTATGTCAGCCTGGGTGAGCCAGTGGTCAGGAGGGCTCAGGCCAAAGAGAATGCAACCTGGGAAAATGAACTTTTGAGAAACTACACCGGCAAACAGTTCCGGTGCCTAATTAGGAACCCCTGTCTTTTTATTAGAAAAATATGTTTTCCAGTTTTTGAAGGAGAGATGAAAAATAAGACCAGAATGGACACTGGGAAAGTAGAATCAAGTCAGATCCAGACTTCCAAGTGAGTGTCCTTCTGTCATCCACCTTTTGATTACTGAAATATTGCTTTACATAATTAAAAAAATAATAAAGAGTATATGTGCACATGCAAGAGAGAGAAGGAGGAGAGTACCCTCAACAGGGTCTGCTCACATCTCGATCTTCTTTCCCCAGGCCTCCAGCTCTTTAGGATCTAGGACAGCCATGTACACACATGTGTATTTTAAGCTGACCTGGGGATCCGAACCCATGGTTAACATATGGCTTCCATCCTTGCTGAGTACCTGCGTTACTTCTGCTCCATTGCCCTGGGCCTGTTTTGTAGGCTTCAATATCCACATACATATCTGGTTTTAGCCTTACAACTTTCCTCCAACGTGTATGACAGTTCTTTCCAGCCATTCCTCAGGGAAGGTGATTGAGTCACCCACCAGTTCAGGGAATCTCTGAAGCCTCATGTCTCTTGCAGAAAGGCCCAGACCAAGACAGCAGCTGGTCCAGTCCTTTCAGGGAATGTTAACCAGGATCCTCCCCAAAACAGATTTGGCTAAGTTTGAGTATTAGAGAAGAAAAGCCCTTTCTTTTTTTCCTTAGCACCTGGAGGGTGGGAACTCCATATTTTCATTTCCTGTTCTCCTCAGTCCTTGATGCTGGGCTGGGTACTGGGGATAAGATGAGGACCGAGGCCCAGGGCTGGCCCTCAAGGTGCTGAGGAAGGGGGAGTTAGGGTGGCTCAAGTGAAGAAAGTCACAAAGCAAGCTCTTTCTCGTTCACATGTGGGC